CAAATTGCCTTAAATCTTCTTTGTTAAGTTTTGTAAAAATGCCATACTGACTTAGTTAAAATACAGTAACTCAGAATGTTATATGAAGTATTCACTGGCTACAGTCACTCTAGTTACCTATTATCTTTAAAGAAGTAAATATAGGATAACAAATTGGTGGTGACTGTGAGATACAGCACTCTATTTTTGACATTTTGTGAAGAAAAACATAAATTTATGATAAATTCGGAAAATGTTTAGTACTAAGTGAAGTACATCAATATTGCTCCGTTTGAGCTGAAATTTTAAACATATATTTTAAAAACCTTGCGCAACTTTTTTACTAAGCATATCTTAGTGAGAAAATACTACTCTGAGCCACAATTAATGTTGAAAGTCTATATGAAAAATTTTTATTTTTATTTTGTATTTGTATAATGAATTTTTAACTATTCAAGCACTATATCAAAATAAATTTTTATGGTCAAAACCAAATACCTACCATTAGTCAAGCCAGACTATATCAACCTTTGAAGAAAAGCACTCAATATCGAATAAAGAAGACCTTATCACAACAAGTTCAAGAAAAATCATAGAATTATAAACCATGCCAAAGAACTTCTAAAAAAATATTTTGGTGTACTTATTGTAATATAAAAGAACATATAATTAGTAAATGCCCTAAAGTAAAAGAATTAGATAAAAAATATATTGCTCTAACCAAGACTCTTACTGATAAACAAGCTGCTAAATTTCAACAACTTATTAATGAAGCTTTTGAAAATAATTATATTAATAATAAGCAGCTTCCTCAGGCTCTAGAATTAGTACTTGAGATATTAGAGGATTTAATAGATAAAAGAAAGCCAATAAGAAATAGTGATAAAGATATACCAGTTATATACTTACCTTCCTATATTCAAGTAACTCCAATTACAAAAAAGAAAAATCTATTTCTTGCATCTTTAGTAGTTTCAAACCTAGAAGATCCCTTAATATTGCCTTAAAACAAGAAAGAGTTCACCTTTAAAAATTTTGATTCTTATTATATTCTTGATGAATCTGTAAAAAGATCTTCTGAAAATATAGAGCTTGATTTTGAGAAAGGAAAAATCAATCTAAAACCTCTTTTTCAAAAGCCAATTGATCAGTTCAAAGTGATTATTTAGAGATATATTTATAAAGAGGAAAAAGATAATCCTTGTTTAAGCTGGATAAAAAAGTTTGAATATGATAATGATGTAGCAGATGGAACCAATAAAGATGATGATGATAATAATGAAAAGCTTGATAATATAAACAATGATAACAAGAATAAGCTTTCAAAGCAAGAAGCTGATAAAGAAATTAGACCTTGTAATAAAGGGAAATTAGAATTAAAAATAATAAGTATGATGCATTCAAATATTCTCAAGAACCAGCAGAAATAGAGAATCTTTTTAGAAATTATAGTATTAATGAATTGCAACAAAATAAAATTAGACTTAAAATGAATGAATATTATTTCAGTAAAGACAAAATCATCAAAAATAATAAAGATCGAGACAAAATAAGTAAGAAAGAAAGATTTGTCAGCATCATAGAAAAAGCAGAAAAATTTATTAACAAAGTGAAAAAAACTTTAAAAGAAAATAAAATCAAAGTACAAATACCTACTGATATCAAAGAACCCTTGGATACCATGTATAATTTCTGAAAGAAGAAAGTTAAAAAGTTTATAGATAAATTTGAACCAAGTAAAAAGAGTAATCATAAAATATTAGAATGATCCCAGAATTCTGCTAAAAATAGTAATTTGAACAGACAAAATAATCATGAAAGATGTTACTAAAATAATATAAGCACCACCTTTAAAGATGAGAAACAAGTTATTGAATAGAGATTAGAATCTGCAAAAGAGCCCCAAAATTCAAATAAAATGAACTGTACTATAACTAAAACAAGGGTAATTATATTAGAACCTAAAAATAATAAGAAGCTGTGGTTAAAGATACTGATCAGAAAAACAATCACAATCGAGGCTAAAGTATATAGAACCTTCAGATGCTTACTTTTGCAATAACCAACAAAATATATATATGATCCTGGAGGAACAATTTTGCTAGAAAATTAAAATCAAAAAGCTTTTTATATTCTTTTAAATCTGATGTTAAAGAAAATTCAGACTTGATGAAGCTCCAAATAACAAGATTCTTTCTTATATATAGAAGAGAACCAAAAATATCTATTTCTGAATCTCACGAAATATTAGAAGAAACTCTTTTGACAAGATTGTATACTTTTGTAGAAGATTTGCCCTCTAAAAGAAAGTAAGCCAAGAATAATATCGATAGATTACAACAACGACAAAAGTTTTACTGTGACAAAAAGATAAAGAAAAAAGGATCTTACTTTATCTATCAAAGAATAGCACCAGATATAAACAAACTTTGTATTATGGAAGAACAAATATTAGAGACACCAATTAATGCTTATCTTCTAAAAAAAAAAAACTATATATGACAATCATGGAACCCTATAATTAATATTTAAATATTATTTATTTTATTATTAATTTTCTTAT